TCTTTCTTTCTTTCTTTCTTTCTTTCTTTCTTTCTTTCTTTCTTTCTCTCTCTCTCTCTTTCTTTCTTTCTTTCCAGTAATGGTGGACTGGTTTATTCAGTTAATCCTCTGAAAATAGTGGCAATGTTAGATAACGTTTATAGGTGGCTGTCTTGTTGTGTCTTCACATAGTCTTCCCTCTGTATGTACCTGTGTCCAAATTTCCTCTTTTTATAAGGACATGTTGGATTAGGACCTACCTATATGATACATAACCTCATTTAATCTTAGTTACTTCTTTAAGGGCCCTATCTCTAAATATAGTCACATTCTGAGGTACTAGGGGGTTAGAATGTCAGCATATGAATTCTTGGGAGACCCAATTCAGCCCATAGCAACTACCATGTCTTGCTATCTCCTACCAATAACAATGAACAAGATGTCAGGGCCCAGTACTGCTATGTGTGTCCTAATTTCCTTTCCCTTGCAGCTAGGAATCTGGTTTAAGCTGCTCATGATGTCTCTCCTCCCCACGGAGAAAGTTTACTTTTCTGGGATGGTTGGAGCACTCATTGTGGAGAGCAACACTGGAAGTTTCCCAAACTTTCCCTCCTCCCTGCTTGGCTCCATACCTAGAATTACTATGTTACTTATACCAGGACTCTCTAAGCTGTGATTTGATTCAGTTCAGTGCCAACCAGCTGGTCCCAGGGAAATGGGACCTAGGACTGGTAGATTTGGGTGGAGGAAGAGATGAAGGCGAGGAGCAGAAAGTTGAGAGCAGGGGGCAGCCTGAATGGGGAGCCTCATGGAGATGGGTTCAACATCCCTGAAAGCTCATTCAGGTGTTATATCAGTCAGGTAGTCAAGTAAGGAGCATTTCACAGGTTACTCTGCATCAAGCTTTGAGTTCCAACCAACCAGGATGGATCAAGTGCCTCCCCAGCTCAGAGAGCTCCTTTTGATGGGGTGGAGAAACTGGGGGTTTCCAAGAAAAGCATCACATGACAGCAGTAGTACCAGGTACTGTGAGAAACTGGAACAGCAAGGGAGGGATGGATCCTATCTAGGCAGATCAGGGAAAGCTTTTTAGAGGGGGCACAAAGGCAAGCTTGTGGTGTCCCAATGAGGGTGGAAGAATAGCATTTTGGTAAGAGAGAACAGCATTTGCAAAGGCCTGAAGAGCAGATAAAAATCAACGATATGCATATGCACCCAGATATATGAAAATGTATGGAAAGTTGCCAAGACTTGTGTTGGTGGAATCTTTTACTGTCATGTTCTTGTATCCATACCTCACTTATCCTCGGTTGCCCCTTTACAGTCCTTGGCCTCCTTTCATTTTGGCCTCAGAGTCCGCCTTTGCCCAAGATGATTGAGCTGATAAGCTCTGCGTGTTTCCTTTTCTCCATATGACTCCATCTCATTTCTCAAGTCCACCTCCTCAGAGAGTCCCTCCCTGACCACCCAGACAGTAGTTTCCTTTCCTCCAGGAAAAAAATTGAAAAAAAATAAAAATAAATAAATAAATAAATATATATATATATATAGAGAGAGAGAGAGAGAGAGAGAGTCACAGAACATTTCTCTCTCTCTTTTTTTTTCTTGTTACAGCCCATCTTGCCTGCTGGACGATGACTCCATGAAAGCAAGGATTTTTGTCTTTTTATTCATGGCTGTGTCCCCAGCATCTAGAACAATGTCTAACACAATACGTACATAGTAAGTATTTTAAGTTATAGTTAACCTTGAACAACACAGGTTTGAACTGTGCAGGTCCACTTTTATGTGGATTTTTCACAGTACAGTGCTGTAAATATTTTTTCTCTTATTTATGATTTTCTCTCTCTTTTTGTAAGATTTTATTTTTTATTATTTTTTTTAAGATTTTATTTTTTATTTTATTTTATTAAAAAAATTTTTTTTTTCAACGTTTATTTATTTTTGGAACAGAGAGAGACAGAGCATGAACTGGGGAGGGGCAGAGAGAGAGGGAGACACAGAATCAGAAACAGGCTCCAGTCTCCGAGCCATCAGCCCAGAGCCTGACACGGGGCTCGAACTCACGGACCGCAAGATCGTGACCTGGCTGAAGTCGGACGCTTAACCGACTGCGCCACCCAGGCGCCCCTAAGATTTTATTTTTTAAAGTAATCTCTACACCCAACTCAGGGCTGGAACTCAACCCCAAGATCAAGAGTCGCATGCTGTAGTGACTAAGGCACCCCTTTAAAGATTTACTTTTTTAAAGTTTTTATTTATTTATTTTGAGGGAGAGAGAGTGAGCAGGGGAGAGGCAGAGAGAGAGAGAGAGAGAGAGAGAGAGAGAGAGAGGGAGGGAGAATCCCACTCATGCTCCACACTGTCAGCTCAGAGCCCAACATGGGGCTTTATTTCATGAACTATGAGATCATGACCTGAACTGAAATTGAGGGTCAGACACTTAACCGACCGAGCCACCCAGGAGCCCTTAGTTTTATTTTTTAACTAATCTCTAAACCTGACGTGAGGCTCAAACTCACAAGCCCGAGATCAAGAGTCACATGTTCTATGTACTGGACCAGCCAGGCACCCCTCTTCCTTAAGATTTTCTTAATAACATTTTCTTTTTTTCTAGTTTACTTTATTGTAAGAGTACAGTATATATTACATGTAACATACAGAATATTTGCTAACCAACAGTTTATGTTATTGGTCAATAGTAGGCTATTAGTAGTTAGATTTGGGGGGAGTCAAAAGTTATACACAGAATTTTCAACTGTGTTCAGGGTTGGTGCCCCCCCCCATGATGTTCAAGGGTCAATTCTAATTAAATGAATGTGCACGTATTAATATATTACTTAAATAATTGTTTAAAAGAACAGTTATGTTGAGAAGCTCTTGAAGGGGATAGATAATGAGACTCTAAGGCCATTGGATCAATGGTGATGTTAAAGGAAAGACATGGAGGAGGAAGCCTGGCCTCACTCCTGCTAGAGAGTCAATGGGAAGGAGGGTTTAGGGCTTGAGGAGGGCCCTAGGTCTCCAAGGTTCCCAGGAAAGAGGGTGAGGCATACAATCTGGGAAAAGGGTAGGTTCTCTGTGGTGGACATTTGCTCAGGGCTTGCTGTGCAGGGGAGAATAGGAAGGGGAAGGGGTGTAGTGCTGGGGGGGACAGGTGGTATTCTGGGTAAGATGGGGAGTTCACCAGCAGAAATGAGCCTTGAGGGGGCGTGTAGACAAAGGATCTGTGAGGCAACTTATCAGGAGCAGTGGCTGGTAATGTTCCACAAGGGTAAAGTACTCTTGAACAAATATTTTTTTTACTTTTAGGAGTTAATATATTTACTTAGTGAATATCAGAAAATGAAGGTTGTGATTTTTATGGTTATTGCTTTAGATGAGTCTAAAATAGGTTAAAAAAAAACAAAACAAAACACAAAAACAATGAGAACATTTAGAGTCAGATCCATGGTAGTCCAATGCGAGGATTTGGCTACATTCATAGGAGAGAGAATGATTGATGGCACCTCTCTGGTTTCCTCTCCCCGCCACACACTCCCCAACTCTTCCTTGTGACCCAAGTATACTCCTTTGGAAACACTATCACACCTTGTTATTAAGTAATTTTTAAGATTTAATGTTTGTCTGCTCCCTCCATCCCTAACTCCATGGGAAAGGAACACTGCATCCTGGAGGTATTATAGGACTAGGTGCACAGTAAGCCCTCAGTGGCTGATGGAGC